TCGTTAACGGTGCGAAATACCACCCAAAGAGGTACATTTTCGGAATCAGCGCATCGAGAAGGCCCTGTATACTGATTTTCAGCCAAATCGAAAGACCCCGCCGTTTCCCGTTAAAATGTTAATTGGTCGTTAACTCGTTAACGGTGCAAAATATCACCCCAAAGAGGTACATTTTCGGAATCAGCGCATCGAGAAGGCCCTGTACACCGATTTTCAGCCAAATCGAAAGACCCCGCTGTTTCCCGTTAAAATGTTAACTGGCCGTTAACTCGTTAACGGTGCAAAATACCACCCCAAAGAGGTACATTTTCGGAATCAGCGCATCGAGAAGGCCCTGTACACCGATTTTCAGCCAAATCGAAAGACCCCGCTGTTTCCCGTTAAAATGTTAACTGGCCGTTAACTCGTTAACGGTGCAAAATACCATCCCAAAGAGGTACATTTTCGGACGTCTGTCAAGACAGCCTCAGATTCAGATTCACTTTCAGAATCACATTCGGACCCCTTAGATTTTCATAAAAACTGGTCCATGGGTACAGTTTTGGACGCTGATTCCAATGGTGAAGTCTGTTTTTCGCCACATATTATACTTTGGGCCCTAGAGGCATTCAAAGTTTTTTTGGGGCGAAGGGGGACCCCCTTAGATTTTCATAAAAACTGGTCCATGTGTACAGTTTTGGACGCTGATTCCAACGGTGAAGTCTGTTTTTCGCCACATATTATACTTTGGGCCCTAGAGGCATTCAAAGTTTTTTTTGGGGCGAAGGGGGACCCCCTTAGATTTTCATAAAAACTGGTCCATGTGTACAGTTTTGGACGCTGATTCCAACGATGAAGTCTGTTTTTCGCCACATATTATACTTTGGCCCCTAGAGGCATTCAAAGTTTTTGGGGGCGAAGGGGGACCCCCTTAGATTTTCATAAAAACTGGTCCATGGGTACAGTTTTGGACGCTGATTCCAATGGTGAAGTCTGTTTTTCGCCACATATTATAATTTGGGCCCTAGAGGCATTCAAAGTTTTTTTGGGGCGAAGGAGGACCCCCTTAGATTTTCATAAAAACTGGTCCATGTGTACAGTTTTGGACGCTGATTCCAATGGTGAAATCTGTTTTTCGCCACATATTATACTTTGGGCCCTAGAGGCATTCAGATTCACTTTCAGAATCACATTCGGACCCCCTTAGATTTTCATAAAAACTGGTCCATGGGTACAGTTTTGGACGCTGATTCCAATGGTGAAGTCTGTTTTTCGCCACATATTATACTTTGGGCCCTAGAGGCATTCAAAGTTTTTTTGGGGCGAAGGGGGACCCCCTTAGATTTTCATAAAAACTGGTCCATGTGTACAGTTTTGGACGCTGATTCCAACGGTGAAGTCTGTTTTTCGCCACATATTATACTTTGGCCCCTAGAGGCATTCAAAGTTTTTTGGGGGCGAAGGGGGACCCCCTTAGATTTTCATAAAAACTGGTCCATGGGTACAGTTTTGGACGCTGATTCCAATGGTGAAGTCTGTTTTTCGCCACATATTGTACTTTGGCCCCTAGAGGCATTCAAAGTTTTTTGGGGCGAAGGGGGACCCCCTTAGATTTTCATAAAAACTGGTCCATGTGTACAGTTTTGGACGCTGATTCCAACGGTGAAGTCTGTTTTTCGCCACATATTATACTTTGGCCCCTAGAGGCATTTAAAATTTTTTTCGGGCGAAGGGGGACCCCCTTAGATTTTCATAAAAACTGGTCCATGGGTACAGTTTCGGACGCTGATTCCAATGGTGAAGTCTGTTTTTCGCCACATATTATACTTTGGGTCCTAGAGGCATTCAAAGTTTTTTGGGGGCGAAGGGGGACCCCCTTAGATTTTCATAAAAACTGGTCCATGTGTACAGTTTTGGACGCTGATTCCAACGATGAAGTCTGTTTTTTCGCCACATATTATACTTTGGCCCCTAGAGGCATTCAAAGTTTTTGGGGGCGAAGGGGGACCCCCTTAGATTTTCATAAAAACTGGTCCATGGGTACAGTTTTGGACGCTGATTCCAATGGTGAAATCTGTTTTTCGCCACATATTATACTTTGGGCCCTAGAGGCATTCAGATTCACTTTCAGAATCACATTCGGACCCCCTTAGATTTTCATAAAAACTGGTCCATGGGTACAGTTTAGGACGCTGATTCCAATGGTGAAGTCTGTTTTTCGCCACATATTATACTTTGGGCCCTAGAGGCATTCAAAGTTTTTTTGGGGCGAAGGGGGACCCCCTTAGATTTTCATAAAAACTGGTCCGTGTGTACAGTTTTGGACGCTGATTCCAACGGTGAAGTCTGTTTTTCGCCACATATTATACTTTGGCCCCTAGAGGCATTCAAAGTTTTTTGGGGCGAAGGGGGACCCCCTTAGATTTTCATAAAAACTGGTCCATGGGTACAGTTTTGGACGCTGATTCCAATGGTGAAGTCTGTTTTTCGCCACATATTATACTTTGGCCCCTAGAGGCATTCAAAGTTTTTTTAGGGCGAAGGGGGACCCCCTTAGATTTTCATAAAAACTGGTCCATGTGTACAGTTTTGGACGCTGATTCCAACGGTGAAGTCTGTTTTTCGCCACATATTATATTTTGGCCCCTAGAGGCATTCAAATTTTTTTTGGGGAAGGGGGACCCCCTTAGATTTTCATAAAAACTGGTCCATGTGTACAGTTTTGGACGCTGATTCCCATGGTGAAGTCTGTTTTTCGCCACATATTATACTTTGGCCCCTAGAGGCATTCAGATTCACTTTCAGAATCACATTCGGACCCCCTTAGATTTTCATAAAAACTGGTCCATGGGTACAGTTTTGGACGTTGATTCCAATGGTGAAGTCTGTTTTTCGCCACATATTATACTTTGGCCCCTAAAGTTTTTTTTTAGGGGAAGGAGACCCCCTTCGATTTAATATGATAATGCAAGGGGACCCCCTTGCATTATCAATTCTACTCTTATGTCTTGATCATTTTTCTGTATCTTCAGAGCTGTAGGCCTGACAGCTCTTCTCGCGAAGGTCTTTTTTGGTCGAAAATGGCAGAACATGACGTCGTTCTGACGTCGTTTATGGCCAACCTATCCTAGCCTCTGGAATTTTTTTGGTCACAATGTGTAAAATTGATGCCCGGAGAGGTCCTGAAAGTTTGCTGGCGACATGGACCAGTTTTTATGAAAATCTAAGGGGGTTCCCCTTCGCCCCAAAAAAATTTGAATGCCTCTAGGGCCCAAAGTATAATATGTGGCGAAAAACAGACTTCACCATTGGAATCAGCGTCCAAAACTGTACCCATGGACCAGTTTTTATGAAAATCTAAGGGGGTCCGAATGTGATTCTGAAAGTGAATCTGAATGCCTCTAGGAACCAAAGTATAATATGTGGCGAAAAACAGACTTCACCATGGGAATCAGCGTCCAAAACTGTACACATGGACCAGTTTTTATGAAAATCTAAGGGGGTCCCCCTTCCCCAAAAAAATTTTAATGCCTCTAGGGGCCAAAGTATAATATGTGGCGAAAAACAGACTTCACCGTTGGAATCAGCGTCCAAAACTGTACACATGGACCAGTTTTTATGAAAATCTAAGGGGGTCCCCCTTCGCCCCAAAACAACTTTGAATGCCTCTAGGGGCCAAAGTATAATATGTGGCGAAAAACAGACTTAACCATTGGAATCAGCGTCCAAAACGTTACCCATGGACCAGTTTTTATGAAAATCTAAGGGGGTCCCCCTTCGCCCCAAAAAACTTTGAATGCCTCTAGGGGCCAAAGTATAATATGTGGCGAAAAACAGACTTCACCGTTGGAATCAGCGTCCAAAACTGTACACATGGACCAGTTTTTATGAAAATCTAAGGGGGTCCCCCTTTGCCCCAAAAAAACTTTGAATGCCTCTAGGGCCCAAAGTATAATATGTGGCGAAAAACAGACTTCACCATTGGAATCAGCGTCCAAAACTGTACCCATGGACCAGTTTTTATGAAAATCTAAGGGGGTCCGAATGTGATTCTGAAAGTGAATCTGAATGCCTCTAGGGGCCAAAGTATAATATGTGGCGAAAAACAGACTTCACCGTTGGAATCAGCGTCCAAAACTGTACACATGGACCAGTTTTTATGAAAATCTAAGGGGGTCCCCCTTCGCCCCCCAAAAAACTTTGAATGCCTCTAGGGCCCAAAGTATAATATGTGGCGAAAAACAGACTTCACCATTGGAATCAGCGTCCAAAACTGTACCCATGGACCAGTTTTTATGAAAATCTAAGGGGGTCCGAATGTGATTCTGAAAGTGAATCTGAATGCCTCTAGGGGCCAAAGTATAATATGTGGCGAAAAACAGACTTCACCATGGGAATCAGCGTCCAAAGACCAAAACTGTACACATGGACCAGTTTTCATGAAAATCTAAGGGGGTCCCTGTACTGGGCACTGGCAGCGTTGATTGTACTGTGTTGTATTGTGAACTGCAGCGCTGATCTATTTCGCCGGCACGCTCGGATTGGTGCACGTGCGGGCGATCGAAAAATCAAGGATGTGCCGGCGGCCGGCGGCAGCGGCCGACTCGGCAGTGCGAGTCAGGTGGGTGCGGGGGAGTGTTGTTTTGTGTGCAGGTGCCCATTGCGAGAGTGAAAATATAATTTCGGATCACAAGCTATTTCGGCCACAATGGCGGGCCTGGACGTTAAGCTGATCCCAGAGTTTGACGGGTCGGGAGAAGATCACGTGGTGGACTGGATCGAGAAAGTGGAGATGGTCTGCACGCTGCAGACGCCGGCGGCCCCACAGGAGTGCGTGATTCCGCTTAGGCTTAGAGGTGGTGCGCTCTCTGTGTACCGGCAACTTCCCAGCGAGGATAAGAAGGACGCCGAGAAGGTGAAGTCGGCCCTGAGAAGGGCATTTGCCTTGGATAAGTTTTCTGCGTATGAACGTTTCGCAGAGCGGCGGCTCAGACCAGGCGAGTCAGTGGACATATTCCTCGCTGAGCTGGAACAGCTGGCGTCACTTTTTGGCGGCATGACAGAAGAAGGCATCAGCTGCGCCTTCGTGACGGGACTACCGGACAGTGTCAGGCAAGTGCTGAAGGCAGGGGCTCGCGTCGACTCTCTCCCCCTGCGTGAGCTGGCTGATCGGGCTCGCGCCATCTTGCGTGAGAGTCAGGGAGTGGTCGCCATGGCAACCGGCAGTGACGTCAGCGGACCCCGGCGCCGGTGGAGCCGCGGGTCGGCGGTGGAAGCGGGCGCAGGGAGACGGGGACCGTGCTATTCCTGCGGCGAGTTCACTCACTATGCTCGCGCGTGCCCGGCACGTGACGTTACGGGACGCCCCGCTGGTGGTGAGGCGCGGACCCCGCGACAGCAGCGGATCTCCGACGAAGGCGAGTCACCGTCGCCTTTCGGGCGTGCGGGCAGCCGGTGCACCCAGATTCAGTGCTATCGGTGCAGGAATTGGGGCCACATCGCCGCATATTGCCCGGAGGGAAACGACCAGCGAGGGGAGGCACCTGCGCCGGCCTCTTCTCGGGATTGAAGTGGGCTGGCGCACTGCCGATAAAGGAGCTGGATGTGAATGGGGCGAGGTGTGCAGCGCTCGTGGACACCGGCTGCAGTCGGACTCTCGTTCACGTCTCGCTGTGCAGGCGGTGGCACCGGCGTGAGCTGCACGCGGTGACTGTGAGCGGTGAGCATCTGAAATGTGTTGGCATTGCTGATGTGCGAGTGGCCGTACCGGGGCTGCGGCGGGTGACGGTGAGCGCGCTGGTGGTGAGGGATAAGCCACTCGGCTTTTCCATGATAGCGGGCATGGATGCAGTGAGAGAGCTCGGTGGAGTGCTTGTCCGCTCGCCCGGTGATGTGCACTTCGGCTGTGAGCCGGCAGGAGAGGCGTGCGCTGCGTCGCCGGTGAAGGAGGGGTCGCTGCGAGTCGACAGAGAAGATTTCTGCGTCACCTTCGACCCGGTCCGGCGGGAGTGGACAGTGTCATGGGAGTGGTCCGCTGGTAACCCACCGCCCGACCTGGCCGGTCACGTGGACGAGTACCCAGTGCCGGCAGAAGCGCGTGCCGAATATGAGGCGGAGCTAGACGACTGGGTGAAGAATGGGTGGCTGCGAGAGTATGATGAGAGCGAGATGGGTCCCCCGAAGGGGCTCATTCCGCTGATGGCGGTCGTCCAGAAGACAAAGGTCAGGCCGGTCATGGATTTCCGGCCCCTCAATCGTCACCTGACAACTCATACGGCAGACGCCGACGTCTGTGCAGAGCAGACGCGCAGGTGGAGGCGGATGGGAACGAACGTGGCCTTGTTGGACCTGAAGAAGGCTTACCTTCAGATTCACGTCGACAAGAAACTCTGGCCTTACCAAACAGTGATCTACAGAGGAAAGCGGCATTGTCTGACGAGATTGGGTTTCGGCATGAACCTGTCGCCCTCCGTGATGAAGGCCGTGCTGGAAACTGTGCTATCGCAGGACGCGAAGGTGGAAGCGGCCGTGTCATCATATGTGGACGACATTCTGGTGAATGAGGCGGTGCTTCCGGCCCGAGACGTGGCTGAGCACCTGAGGAACTTCGGACTGGAGAGCAAGGAGCCGGTGAGGGCAGACAGCGGCGCTCGCGTCCTGGGTCACCGTGTCTGGGGGGAACGTGACGGGCACCTCCGGTGGCGCCGGGACAGTGAAGTGTGCGCGGACGTGCTGGCGACACCAGTGACAAAGCGAAGCGTGTTCTCGCTGTGTGGACAGCTTACGAGCCATTACCCTGTGTGCGGCTGGCTCCGTCCTGCCGCCTCGTTCGTGAAACGACTGGTGAGTGAGGCTGCGCACGGGTGGGACGAGCCAGTTCGTGATGAAAATGTCGTGCGGCTGGTGAACGAGTTGGTGGCGAGAGTGAGAGCAGATGACCCAGCGAAGGGTCAGTGGGATGTCGGTGACGGTGTAGCGACTGTGTGGACTGACGCAAGCTCACTCGCTCTCGGTGTTGCTCTCGAAGTGGGAGGTGAGATTGTAGAGGACGCGAGCTGGCTGAGGCCTCGTGATGACGTCAGCCACATAAATCTGGCCGAGCTGGACGCGGTGTTGAAGGGGGTTAACCTGGCCATTCAGTGGGGAGTGTCAGTGATGCGTCTCATGGTCGATTCTCGGACTGTGTATCATTGGGTTAGTGACCTGCTGAGTGGTCGGGCGCGACTTCGATCGAAGGCGACGTCTGAGATGTTGATCAGGCGCCGGCTCGGCACACTGAGGGCTCTCGTCGATGAGTATGGCTTGAGTGTGAGCGTGTTCAGTGTCTCGTCTGCCTCTAACAAGGCCGACACACTGACGAGGGTGCCGGAGAAGTGGATGAAGGGGCGGACGGCGAACGGAGACGCCGCAGCGGTCGCCGACTCCGGCGGGGCGGCTGTCTCAGACACAGCCGCGGCCGGTGGCACCGCCTCGTCCGACTCCGACGGAGACGCTGTCAACGCCGCGCTCGGCACGGCCGGTCCCGCGCCGGCTCGCGGAGACGGAGACGGCGAGACAACCACGTCGGGGAACGGCCGCCAAGAGGACGATGACGCCCTATTGAATGAGGTGAAGAGAATTCATCACACGGCTGGGCATCCGGGCATTCGAAGGACGTACTTTTTCGTGAGACGCGCCCTCCCGGAGGTGTCTAAGAGTGTCGTCAGAGAGGTTGTTTTGGCCTGTGAAACGTGCCGCTCTATCGACCCTGCGCCGGTAAAATGGAAGAAAGGTGAACTGTCAGTTGCTACGGTGTGGGAGCGCGTAGCGATGGATATCACGCACTTTCGGGGCGGCACTTACCTCACGCTGGTCGACTGTGGTCCGAGCCGGTTTACCATATGGCGGCCCTTGCGGCTGCAGACGAGTGCAGCGGTGATTGACCAGCTTGAATCTGTGTTCTGTGAGCGCGGCGCGCCGAGTGAGATACTCACTGATAACGACCCGGCTTTTCGGAGCAGGCAATTCCGAGCCTTTGCGTGTCACTGGGGGATAAAAATCCGTTTCCGGTGCGCTCATGTGCCCTCTGGGAACGGAATGATTGAACGCTGTCATAGAACTGTGAAGGTCATCGCGGCTCGAAAAGACTGCACTATTAGGGAGGCGGTTTTCCGCTACAACGTGCTCCCACAAGATGACACGACGGCGGACTCAGCTCCGGCCTGTCGGCTGTATCAATACAGAGTGCGCGTGCAGGGCGTGGATCAGGATAACGTAGCTCGTGAGCGGAAGGCGACGGACCCAAGTGTATTTTGTCCAGGAGACAAAGTGTGGGTTAGGCCGCCCGACGGGCGGTGTGACAGCCGTTACGAGACGGGTGAAATAACTGGTATCGTTTCACCTCAGTGCGTGGAGGTCGGTGGTGTGCCGCGACACGTAAAAGACCTACGCCCGCGTGCGCCGTCTGAGTGTTATGAAGCGTCGTCTGCGAACGACGACGGTGATGAGCCCGTGATGTTCTGGACGGGAGACGCTGGAGCGCACGCCGATGCGGCGGTGGATGGAGATAACGATTTGGCTGCGGATGCCGGTGGTGTCGATGCCGATAGGCGGGCCGAGCCGCCTCTGAGGAGGTCACAACGTCTGCGGAATCCGTGTCCGCCGTGCAATTGTGGCCGTGAGTGACTTAAAAGTCAGGGGGGAATGTACTGGGCACTGGCAGCGTTGATTGTACTGTGTTGTATTGTGAACTGCAGCGCTGATCTATTTCGCCGGCACGCTCGGATTGGTGCACGTGCGGGCGATCGAAAAATCAAGGATGTGCCGGCGGCCGGCGGCAGCGGCCGACTCGGCAGTGCGAGTCAGGTGGGTGCGGGGGAGTGTTGTTTTGTGTGCAGGTGCCCATTGCGAGAGTGAAAATATAATTTCGGATCACAGTCCCCCTTCCCCCCAAAAAAAACTTTGAATGCCTCTAGGGGCCAAAGTATAATATGTGGCGAAAAACAGACTTCACCATTGGAATCAGCGTCCAAAACTGTACCCATGGACCAGTTTTTATGAAAATCTAAGGGGGTCCCCCTTCGCCCCAAAACACTTTGAATGCCTCTAGGGGCCAAAGTATAATATGTGGCGAAAAACAGACTTCACCGTTGGAATCAGCGTCCAAAACTGTACACGTGGACCAGTTTTTATGAAAATCTAAGGGGGTCCCCCTTCGCCCCAAAAAAACTTGGAATGCCTCTAGGGCCCAAAGTATAATATGTGGCGAAAAACAGACTTCACCATTGGAATCAGCGTCCAAAACTGTACCCATGGACCAGTTTTTATGAAAATCTAAGGGGGTCCCCCTTCGCCCCAAAAAACTTTGAATGCCTCTAGGGGCCAAAGTATAATATGTGGCGAAAAACAGACTTCACCGTTGGAATCAGCGTCCAAAACTGTACACATGGACCAGTTTTTATGAAAATCTAAGGGGGTCCCCCTTCGCCCAAAAAAAAACTTTGAATGCCTCTAGGGCCCCAAGTATAATATGTGGCGAAAAACAGACTTCACCATTGGAATCAGCGTCCAAAACTGTACCCATTGACCAGTTTTTATGAAAATCTAAGGGGGTCCCCCTTCGCCCCAAAAAACTCTGAATGCCTCTAGGGGCCAAAGTATAATATGTGGCGAAAAACAGACTTCACCATGGGAATCAGCGTCCAAAACTGTACACATGGATCAGTTTTTATGAAAATCTAAGGGGGTCCCCCTTCCCTAAAAAAACTTTGAATGCCTCTAGGGGCCAAAGTATAATATGTGGCGAAAAACAGACTTTACCGTTGGAATCAGCGTCCAAAACTGTACACATGGACCAGTTTTTATGAAAATCTAAGGGGGTCCCCCTTCGCCCCAAAAAACAACTTTGAATGCCTCTAGGGGCCAAAGTATAATATGTGGCGAAAAACAGACTTCACCATTGGAATCAGCGTCCAAAACTGTACCCATGGACCAGTTTTTATGAAAATCTAAGGGGGTCCGAATGTGATTCTGAAAGTGAATCTGAATGCCTCTAGGGGCCAAAGTATAATATGTGGCGAAAAACAGACTTCACCATGGGAATCAGCGTCCAAAACTGTACACATGGACCAGTTTTTATGAAAATCTAAGGGGGTCCCCCTTCCCCAAAAAAAACTTTGAATGCCTCTAGGGGCCAAAGTATAATATGTGGCGAAAAACAGACTTCACCGTTGGAATCAGCGTCCAAAACTGTACACATGGACCAGTTTTTATGAAAATCTAAGGGGGTCCCCCTTCGCCCCAAAAAAACTTTGAATGCCTCCAGGGGCCAAAGTATAATATGTGGCGAAAAACAGACTTCACCATTGGAATCAGCGTCCAAAACTGTACCCATGAACCAGTTTTTATGAAAATCTAAGGGGGTCCCCCTTCGCCCCCAAAAAAACTTTGAATGCCTCTAGGGGCCAAAGTATAATATGTGGCGAAAAACAGACTTCACCGTTGGAATCAGCGTCCAAAACTGTACACATGGACCAGTTTTTATGAAAATCTAAGGGGGTCCCCCTTCGCCCCAAAAAACAACTTTGAATGCCTCTAGGGGCCAAAGTATAATATGTGGCGAAAAACAGACTTCACCATTGGAATCAGCGTCCAAAACTGTACCCATGGACCAGTTTTTATGAAAATCTAAGGGGGTCCGAATGTGATTCTGAAAGTGAATCTGAATGCCTCTAGGGGCCAAAGTATAATATGTGGCGAAAAACAGACTTCACCATGGGAATCAGCGTCCAAAACTGTACACATGGACCAGTTTTTATGAAAATCTAAGGGGGTCCCCCTTCCCCAAAAATAACTTTGAATGCCTCTAGGGGCCAAAGTATAATATGTGGCGAAAAACAGACTTCACCGTTGGAATCAGCGTCCAAAACTGTACACATGGACCAGTTTTTATGAAAATCTTAGGGGGTCCCCCTTCGCCCCAAAAAAAACTTTGAATGCCTCCAGGGGCCAAAGTATAATATGTGGCGAAAAACAGACTTCACCATTGGAATCAGCGTCCAAAACTGTACCCATGAACCAGTTTTTATGAAAATCTAAGGGGGTCCCCCTTCGCCCCAAAAAAAACTTTGAATGCCTCTAGGGGCCAAAGTATAATATGTGGCGAAAAACAGACTTCACCGTTGGAATCAGCGTCCAAAACTGTACACATGGACCAGTTTTTATGAAAATCTAAGGGGGTCCCCCTTCGCCCCAAAAAAACTTTGAATGCCTCTAGGGCCCAAAGTATAATATGTGGCGAAAAACAGACTTCACCATTGGAATCAGCGTCCAAAACTGTACCCATGGACCAGTTTTTATGAAAATCTAAGGGGGTCCGAATGTGATTCTGAAAGTGAATCTGAATCTGAGGCTGTCTTGACAGACGTCATTTTCGGAATCAGCGCATCGAGAAGGCCCTGTATAACGATTTTCAGCCAAATCGAAAGACCCCGCCGTTTCCCGTTAAAATGTTAAATGGCCGTTAACTCGTTAACGGTGCAAAATACCACCCAAAAGAGGTACATTTTCGGAATCAGCGCATCGAGGAGGCCCTGTATACCGATTTTCAGCCAAATCGAAAGACCCCGAAATATGCTGCTGTGAGGCTGATATTCGTTGCTGCTGAATTGATAGACGTCCTTGGCGACTATGTGCTGGGGCGGCGGGCGGCGTGCAAATTGTATTTACTATAGATATATGCATTATATATGATATTATTATATTATGTATATTATAGGCATCGAGTGTTTTATATACCATGACTGTGGAGTGTGGACTAGAAGAGGATGCAAGCAGGCAGCGGGTTGAAGTCGCCCTTTTCATTTTGCAGTTTGCACCCTTGCTCAAAATTGATTTTAAAAAAACTGCTGCCGCATCATGTCACAAACCAGATATCAATCTCTAAAATTGTTAATATGATCATTTATTGCCAAAATCAGGTGCACTACAAGCAGAAATAATCATAATCTAACCTGACACAACCTTACCTAATTCGGTATATGTCAAGTTTAGGTCCTAACTACAATTGTGGCGCTTTTGATACGAATATGAAACAGCAAAAATTTTAGGTTTTAGGTTAGGTTAGGTTGTAGGTTTGTAGGTTTTAGGTTGTAAGTAGGTAGGTTTGTAGGTTAGGTTAGGTTAGGATAGGTTTGTAGGTGGTAGGTTGGTAGGTTATAGGTAAGTAGGTAAGGTTAGGTCAGGTTTGATTATGTTTTTTTCTTTTATTTGCGAGACATATGAGTATCATTTTTGGATTCAGGATGTCAAATAATGTAAAAATATGAAAAATTTATCAATGAAATCTTCTTAGGACTTAAACTTGACATTTACCCCTAATTCTCCCTTAATTAAGAAATAAAGAAATAATGAAACATAATCTGAAGGCTGTTCACGGGCCCTGTGTTGGTGTGAGGTCAGACCTTACTCAGGCTGTAAGCTCCGCCCACTGCATCCCTACGTCATCCTTCCGCCACCGCACACAGAGACCACTGGTCGGTCGGGACTGGCGACAGGGGCTGTCCACCACATGCAGCGGTGACATCAAAACCGCCTACCCATACCTACCCCCATGCCTGCTGCACACACCGCACTCAGCAGTTTGCGGTGCCTGTGAACCCCCCTCAGACCTCGCTTGGCATGTGGTTGGGTGTATCTAACTTATAGATGTTTTATGTAAAAAGTATCATAAGTATTGACGTGTGGTCTCACTTTTTAAGCTTAAAAGGATGTGATGGATGTGTTTATTTTCATGTTTCATGTGTTCATTGAATTCATGTTTTTGTTTTGTAGTTTGTCAAGAGTGCACTGCAAAAGGAGAAAATCACCAGGAGGGGTAGGGCACTTAACAGGGCCTCGGCTAACATGTTAACTTCTGGGGCAAATGCCCCAGTGGAGTCGAGGAATGCCCCAGTAGTGGTCAGGCTTTGCCCAACCTCCACAAAATGAGAATATATCCGTATTAACGTACATTCTTTCATTCGGCAGCGGTTGAAGACGTTTGTGGCAAGAAATCAGGGGCGGTGGAAGAGTGCACGGTGTGCAGCTGCACCCTCAATTTCCATCCAAAAACATAGGCGTGCATTGGCAAACATATCTTTTTGCACCCCATAATCCATCTTCGTTCGAAAGAGCGTCAAAAATAATGACGAAATTACTTCGGCAACTTTTTTGGTCAGGTCAAAGGTCAGGTCATGGTGAAAGGCCAAATTTCGCCGATTTTCAGGTCAAATATCGACAGTTTACAAGATGCCGACGCATAACTCGGGAACCAATTAGAGCTTCAGCACCGCGAAAAAGCGCATTTGATAGCCATATTAGCATGCTTTCTGGTTATTTCTCTTAGATTTGACCTAACGTCAACGGTTTTGCCTGCAAGGGGCAAAAAGTACCAATATAGACGATTTTTTCCGGAACAGTTCTTCTGCAATAACTTTTGACTCATGCCTTGCATGAGCTTTCTTTTACCGACATCGTGTTCCTCTCGTCAAGACGCATCAAATTAACTACAATTTGACCTTGAAGGTCAACTTGAAAATTCGACCTCAGGTCAAGGTCATGATCTGACCGGAAATTGTCATGTTGCATATCAGTCGATCTGCATCGTCGAGCCAAACAACAACTAAGACATTTTCATCGCTCTAGCTTGCCTCTTTCAAAAGTTATTCGCGAAAAACTGTTAGATACCATTTGTGAACTGAGATGACCTCAGGGGCATAAACAAGGGTCACGGGTGCTATTTTCATGTTCAGTGTGTCAAAGTCACGTACATTGTTTTATAGTGTTTAGAATGACTTTCGTCCAAAAGAGGTGGTTTTGAATTTTCTCCCATTGACTTATAATAGAGGTCACAAAATTGAGCTGACCTTAGGTCATCGATATGGAAATTCCGAGATAAAAATTGTGTACATGCTGTTGCCCTTATCTTATCAATCGCTGAAAGTTTCAGAGCGATCGGTCACTCGGTGTAGCTACGGCATACATTGAAACATTTTATGAGGTGAGGTCACTTGAAGTGACCTGGTGACCTGATCTTGAATGACCTTGGTCTGAAATTTTTACAACACGTGTAGAATTGATGGATGATGGAGCGCCGCCGTTTTTTGAGATATCCGCGAAAAACCGCAGGAAAAACCGCAGGTGTTCACCCCCCCCCCCCCCCCCCCCCCAGCAGGGCGCCAACACACTTTGACGATTTGCCCCAGTAGTCAAAATTCCTTAGCCGAGGCCCTGGCACTTAATAGGCTACCTATGCTGTAGCACCTACCCAAAACCAAAAGCCCCAACAGGCAGCCACACACTCATTAGGAGGAGTGACCTTAAAGGAAAAGTGCCACCTTCGTGAAATATGAAGATATCGTTGCTTTTCATTTTGACATTATTATTTTTCATGTTCTTTTTAAATCTGGTGCCAGAAGTGCATAATTCGCAAAAAAGTATGTCAAACTATTTAACATATTGGTACTATGTTTGTACTCTCTACCGCACCTTCTGTATGATGTCATAGCGATGACATCACACTCAAGCCAATCAGCCTTCAGAAGACAGACTCGTCGGCTTGTGTCAGATTAGCTGATTGGTTAAAGCTGAGCTGATTGGAGCTGATTGGTTAAAAACCAAAGCCTCGCCGCGGGTGGCTGTATTACAGGATAAGAACGCATTCCTGGGATAAGGACGCATTCCTGGCATATTTTCTTTTAAAATTGCCGATACCTACGAATGGAGGCCGAAATCGGCCGTAATGTGGGACACTCCCGGGGCTTTCGGACACGGGCTACAAGATGGCCATCTCAGTTTCAAACCCCATGTTAAAGGTGACCCTTTTCCTTTAATATTGCTGTTGTTCTTACCCTGGCCTTTTGGGTAAATGTGAAGATGAAATCAAAGTAGAATCGTAGATAAAAATCACAATCTTACCTGACCTAACCTTACCTACTAACCTACTAAACAGCATACCAAGCTATGACCTACATCCCTACAACCTACCAACCTACCAACCTACAACCTACAAACCTACAACCTACTAACCTACAACCTACCAACCTACATCCTACCAATCTACAACCTACCACTTGTACTTAATCTTAACATTGTTGCACCATGTACCTCCTTCTGTAACATGACTTTGCCTTAATAAAGTATGATATTTGTTATGACCTTTTCCTCGAATTAAGAAATGTAAAAAAGTCGAAAGTGATGTATTCTAAGTGAATTTTCGCCCACAGGGCATCGTCAGACAAGCAAATAGCATTGAGCAAACATGTACAAATCAAATATCTTTCAGTTGCCGAGCCATAAATGTCACATTCAGTTAATATTTTTAAAGCTTTACGTGAGAGCCCACTATAAGTCCCTCTCATAAAAGGTTGCAAAATAGTTACATCATTTCCCATACGCCGAGATATCCCTTTAGCATTATCCTAGCCGTGCGGGAAACATTTGCACGTGATCTTTCCTGCACTGTTTTCCGGCACGGGTTGATGACCTACAGTTCTGGTGATTTTTTAATAAAAATCTTAAAAAAGGTGATTTCAATAATTAAATTGTGAGTTTCTGAATAGGTAGATATTAAACGACGTATGGGAAATATCTTACTGAACTTGCTCTGGGAAGAAAAAATGGAAACCTCGGTCTTCAAAAAATCTCCGGCACTCGGCTACGCCTCGTGCCTACAATTTTTTAAAGACCTCGGTTTCCATTTTTCTTTCCCAGAGCCGTTCAGTAATATATAATCCCATACGCATATAGGTACATACACCGTTGTACAATTAGAGACAGGCAGATGTCCGAATTAAACGAGATATACACATTATACGCATCAGACAGTATGTAATACATGGTAGTACGTTATAGATACCTATACCTATTAGTTATTACCTACGTACCTCCAACATTAATGCACAACACTTAGCTTAGAGGCGGCCGCGAGTGACATACAAAAACATAAACGTAACATATTGCACATCGGTTCAGGTTATTCGTACCGTGTACATGTGATCGAGTTCGTATCTCAAATTAACAACGATTGTTGCACATCAGTAATCAGTAAATTCGCTATCGTAAAGTTCGTAGTTATTCGTTGCTATTCGTTGCTAATCGTTGCTATTCGTTCCTATTCGTTGCTATTCGCTGTATTCGCTGTATTCGTAAAACTGAATCGTGTGGACCACACTGTAAAGAATATGATACATTGATAAGAAGCAGAGTGATAAGTGTAGTTCGGCGCCAGGGGGACCTAGAGAATAGGCCAAGGAGACTGATTATAGTTCAGTTGGGGTCGTTTCTTCTGTATCAATAGAGACTCCGCTATCTTCCTGTCTGGATGATCCCTTGAACGATATAGAATACGAAGTTTTAGACGCGCTGTGCCTCTATCCTCTGAGTGGTGGTGTACCCTGAAATGATCACCCATCGGAGTGTCTTGGGTTTGATTTTGGGCATCTCTGAGGTGCTCATTGAAACGCAAACGCACAGGACGCTTCGTCTCTCCTATGTACTTGCTGTCATGGCCATTTTCATGACAGATCTCACACGACAGTTCGTACACAACATTTTTCTGTGTGCAGTCACCCGTAAAGCCAGACTTGCACGTATGGCACCTTTGACCACCCGGACATGTCGGCTTCACTAACGCTGAACGTACTAGTCTGTCTCTGAGTTTGTTCTGGTTTTGTTCTGGGTTCTGGTCACTAAACAACATGACTTTGCCTTGTTTTGTTTCAGAATCTGAGATCAAGATAGGCATATTGAAGTGCTGTCACCTGGCACTATATTTTTCATAGACCTGAGGCTCTCCAGCTTTGAATATGTGTAAGTCTTTTATGATTGTATGCAGCTTTTTTACTCATTCAGGCTTTAAGTTATGGGCCCTGTCAGCTGGTGGATGCCTACTATATAGGCTGGTAAGCCTAAGAAAGAACAGATTTAAAGCACAACTGCCATTGTTACATCATGTGCCTCCAAGTCCCATGATGTTGCCTCTAGTAAATATCCAAGAACATTTCTATCACTGCTCTTTGCGCATGTTTTTTCAGAAATATATGTATGCTGTGATTGAAACACATGCAGTGACCCAGGTCCTTAAACTCTGTTCCTGTTTAGGCTTGCCAGTCTAATGTCTGCAGTGTTACTAGCACATGCAGTTTTCATTGAAGCACAAACAAACTTGGATGAACTTATGTTGGTTGGCATAATCAGTTGGCACTTTGCCAAATGCTATTGCATGCCAAGAGCTTGAGCAATTTGACATTTTTTCATAAAACCTAAATGATGTGATGCATTGCATTATGTGGATGTGAATATGCATACAAAACCTCAAACCTTTGTTGCAACGGACAGCAGATTGTAGAAGCATCAGTTGTTAAAAGTTGATGCTTCTAAAGAGGTATTGAATAACTGCAATAGTTCCCTGGTTTCCCAACTTACATGACATTATGCTTATGACGATAACCTATGATGTAAGCTTGCAAAGCATATAACCGACTAGGTAGCAGCATGTGTGAAACTGGGTCACAATTGAGTGATCTCAGTAAAACAACTGTGCTGATTTATGTACTTGGGGCTAACATCTCAAAATTCTAACTTTCAAGTTTAAGGCTCTTCTCAATTAAAACACACAACCCAGCTTCATATATTCCAGCCAGTGATATCATCCTGATCTGGCTTGGCTTGAATTCAGCACCAAGTTCACCATTGTAACTGCCGTTGTTGAAGAAAAGTTAACTAAGGTTGTACAGCTCAAGAGATGCACTCAGTCACATCATTTTAAGTACTCTGGGACATGGTACCTAGTTGACTCCAGTTCTAGCTGTCTCTGGCTATTGAAGTTTGGCTAAATAGGTATGAAAGCATTAGAGTGTCACATACATATTTTTGTACAATGCATGTGCTGTGCAAAGCTATGTGGGTGGAGTTGTCTATGTTCACCTGAATTAGTTTATATGGCATCGTGCTTATTTCTCTGCTTGAGTGTCTCGTCTGTATACTAAAATTTATGCACTACCTGTGTCAAACTCAGCCAGTAGTCTCTGTAAAGTCGTGTCTCCTGTTGACACTTGTATTTAAATGGCATTTGATCAACTGGGAAGTGTGTGTTGTTTCATTTCAAGTGGCGACTCAATTGAATGCCGCAGTGTGTCATTTAACTAGGTGGTACATTTATACAATCACACTGGTTTGCAGTTGGTCTGCGTGCACTGGAACATATGAGACAGGCCTCTGGTTCCAGGACACTCTTGGCCACTTTGTATCGCACTCCACTGCCTGTTGTCTCAAAGCTTAGCTCATACACCTCAGAATGGGGTAAGGAGTGCAATGCTTCATCTGTTTGCTCTAATTGCTCTGTATTCTGTTCTAAGGTTTTAGAGCTACTTGCACATATCCCATTATCATAATTGCATGGTTGTCACTTGTCGACCTGGATCTATCAAGGAATGTCCTTTTATTGTTGTTTCTTCTTTGTTTTTTTTTTCTTGACAATATGCATTAATGTCTCTAGCACTCTGCAACTAAAGCTTGATTAACCTGCGAGCATCTTTCTTGCTCTGGTGTTTTGTCAAGTGTTTTATCATTGTTGAATGTTATGCTTGCATTGCATGAATCCATCACATCTGCTTGCATCCAATATGGATGATTACGGAGCGAGCGAAGCGAGCGGAGTCTTTCCTTAGATTAACGGAAATTTCTGAGTATGAGCGGCCGGCCGCCCGGCCGGCCGTGCGGACACTTTTGCGAGGCTTATATCTCAGCAACCACTTGACCGATTTACATGCGGTAATTTTTGTAGGGTAGCTTCATTCCTTCTACCAAGTATTGGACTATTCCCGATGCATGTGGGTGACCCCTTATGCACGTGCCACGTGCAAAACGAAGAGGTGTCAGTTTTGTAATAGTTGCAATATCTCGGTAACTACTGGGCCGATTGCGCTGAAAGTTGGCATGTAGGTAGGCACCCACTAGGCAATGCGTATCCATGTGCCAGAGTTGGGGTGCTGCTGTACGTGCACGCGTGCAGGGGTCTTTTCCAGATCTCGAGAACGGCTGGACCGATGGCGCTCAAATTTGGTACACAGTTAGGGACCGGTTAGTAGGGTGCCGTGCAAAAGTCAGTCGGGACCCATTTTGCACGTGCGCACGTGCAGGGTGTCGCTTCCAGATCTCGAGAACGGCTGGGCCGATTGTGCTCAAATTTGGCACATCGCTAGAGACCGGTTAGTAGGGTGCCGTGCACAAGCCATTGGAGGTACCCCTTCGAAATTTCGCACGTGCAAGGCTCACCCTCTCGCTCGCTCCGTTAGTCGCCCCAAAAGGCGTTATACTGGTATTAAATACCCATTGACGATGTCAAATTGCATACCGAATGGGCTATGTCGTATGATTTTGTTCTTTCTTTCAAACTCTTCTAACCATTTGTAAGTTTTGTAGTGACACAAAATTCCATTTATTTTTGCCTGGAGTTTATCTTAAATCAATGTCGCAAGGCTATCATTAGTGATATCATCTCGTGCCTAGATAATGAAATATATAATAAACACTAAACACTATAATAATAAACACTGTTGGACGCTCGGGGCGAACCTGGGCTAATTTGGTTTTGAAACCCTTTAACCGTTGGATGTGCTCGTCCGTGCGTTTTTGCATGTGGTGGAGGTCTCTGTTACTCCTAGGGAGGGGAATTTATATTGGCGATATGCTTTGTTGCTGGTGTTCTGCATTGTGATACATGCTGCATACTTAATTGCTGATGATCATCCTCTTGCAAATATCAAATGTTGACTAGCATTACTACTTCAAAGCTCTGCACTATACAATCTTTCGCGCATTTCCGCTCTCGTTGGCTGGTTAGCCGTTCAACGCTACCTTTCACTATCCTGTAGGCATCGGGTGACTGCTGCGCCTATACCGTCAATTACAGTGTGTGTATGTGTGTTGCAGCTGCCGATTTCGCTGCCGTTAAGGAGGCCGTGGACACTGGCAGTGCCACGATCGTGGACGTCCGAAACCCCGGCGAACTCCAGGAGGAGGGCAAGATCCCAAAGGCCATCAATTTGCCACGTAAGACCCGACTATAGTAAAATGTGTAGCGTATGCTTATAAGCCATTGTGGTTTTGATACATTGGCATTGCATTAGGCAATATAAACTTGATGTTGCTCTGTAACTCCACGTCCGCATATATTTGGATTGCTAGCCAATTATTTTCAACAAAAAAATAGTGTGATGCATTCTTGTAAATGCTGCCTCGACTCCCACTTTTTGTCAGCACCACCTGGCGACCGCTAGCAGGTGGCTGTGGTTGCTCATCGGCCCGGTCCGATAAGCTACTCCAAACAGTGCTATCTCGTGCAATATCGGCGTTGCGTAACCTGTGCGTGGACAGCGCTGTTAGCAGAGTGTCGTCCCCGCCCTGTCCTGTTCGGCCCCGTCCCGCCCCGCCCGCCCATTGTACCTCGCTGACCGGTGTCCGCCCCTCGCGCAGTGCCCGAGCTGAAGCAGGCGATGGAGCTCTCTGCCGAGGAGTTTCAGCAAAAGTACGGCTGCGCCCGGCCCGGTCAGACGGAGCCTCTGATCCTGCACTGCAAAGGCGGCATCCGAGCGGCCAAGGCGGCCGGCCAGCTCACCGAGAGCGGATACAGCAACCTCAAGTCAGTGTCCGACGGACTATTTCAGCTTATTGTGGCCAGCTTGCGGCGTCAGACCGATTGTTTGATAAAGTCAATGAAAACAAGAAATGTTGCCTTTCATAACATTTGTTGGAAAGGGAGTGTCATATGGTACTGGTGTTTTCTGAATTTTGGCCAAACGGGATAACGTTGGGTCTTTGCCATTCTCCTTGATTCGGAACTGGCGTTTTTTACACGTGATACCGAATGTAATTTGCCATTGGTCTTATGTACTAAAGCGGCTCTCAGTCCCCACTGTCCTAGCCCCCATCACTGACATACACTGACGTGTGCGTGCCCTGTCCCCTGTGTGTCCACAGGGTGTACCAGGGCTCGTTCGCCGACTGGGTCAGCAATGGCGGCCCCGTGGAGAAGTGAGCCGCCAGCGGCCGCGGCACTGTTCGGACCGGCACGCTCTGGTGAGGGGGCGCTGGCGGCTGGGGGAGTGAGTAGGGTTGGGCGCTGGAGCCGCGTCCAGTGGCGAATCTTGGAATCTGTTAATAATTAGAAACGGAACTTATAGGAGGCAGGCGAAAGTAAAATAAACCATGATAAAAACCTTATCAGGCTTCATTAAAAACTTCATAAATTCACAGCAATTCAACTCTAAGCATTACAAAGTCATAAATTCATCCAGTAGTACCCCCCCCCCCCCATTCCTTTTTCATGCCGCAGAAGTTTGAAGCAGTCGTTTGCTGATCCCTCAATTGACTGTGAAGGGCGTATTGTCACGGCGTCCCCTCTGAGGCCTGTTTTCTGTTCGTTTTTCAGTCACGGCGCTCGCCCCTCGTCGATATGACGCCCACTACCTAGTGTCCACAATTCAGTACCTTCATCCGTCCGTCGTTTAAGCCTCTGGAAGCGATCAAAGCCATCGGTGATCAGCCCATCCATCTGGTGACAAATTTATCCGAAGGAGAGCGCTCTGACAGCACCGGCCGGCCGGACAGGCCGAGCTACACCCGACAGAAGATGTGTATTTTCCTAGATGTTCGCTTTTGTGAGTCAAGACGTTGGTATACGCACTGTGAGATCCAGTTGTAGTCGTCGCTAGCAATGATCGTCGGAGAATATGCACTTGGTGCTTGTATCATTGACTCATGGATTTGGTGATTTGAACTGCCTGGTGCCCAGTCACTGGTGTTGTCTCGCTATTTTTCTGGTGATGGTTGTTCTTGTTGGTCGTATTGCCTAATGTTGTCAATCAGCTCTGCTGTTCCGCTTTCGCTCGGTGTTTTGATATCACATATCAGCTATGTGGTGATTTTAAAAGAGTCGTCACTGCTTCACCATTTTCAGTCATCGCGAACAATGATATTCGTCGTCAACGAAAGCCAGTGATAAATGGTGATCTTGCCACTTCGATGGTCTCTTCACGCAAAATCAAAATATACTGAAAGACACGCCACTTGTTTCGCCTCAGATGCTCGTTTCGCAGGTATTCAAAGTTCGTCATTATACATTCTCATTTCTGATTTAGGCCGTAAGGGAGTTGAAAAACAAAATTTTTAAAAGGGAAAACAGCAGATATGCATTACCATGCACTGAACTATCGTTTCAGGCAATCATTATGACATACTGGAACTTGATGTTAAAAACAACATCCGCTTTGCTTCCTCTAATATATGCATGCATATAAGGTTGAGCACACCACTGTGGACCGTAGTTGACAAATCGCCGCTGTAATCCTGACGTCTGGCCTGTCCGGGCGGGCGGAGGGCGGCCGATCGTTTCCGGTGACCTCCTCCCGAAGAAGTGGGATGGGCCGGCTCGGCGTCAGGAGGCGCGCCTGGCGGGGACCTCAGGCAAGCGGCGCCACCCCGCTTCGCCCTGTGGTCGCCGGGACGGCCGCCGCGGTGGATCACTGGGCGTCCCAGGCAGGGTCGGGAGCGGTGTTACCGGTTATAGGAGACGAGCACGGGATGACTCGGGGATGGGTGGACTGTCACTGGACAATGGTCCGAGGCTCGAAAGGTCGACAGGGGATGTGTTAGAATTTTTATGACGGGAATGTGTTGGACGTCTGAACGGCTCATGGATGTTGTGCCCTGGCGTTTAAATTTCGCAGGGCTTCTGTACGATAAGCGCTTTGAGACAGACCTGACGCTGGCTACACACATACCTACCTTGACGTCACATACTAAGCAAACCAAAACAGCGGCGCTGGCCTCTTCTTCCAATAGCAGCTCGGCTACCTGACGGAGGATTACGAGGCTTTTCGCGCTGCTCTCGGACTGGCCAATGAGGTCGACTGCCAAATGATGCTAATCTCCAGTCGGTGTCTGGTGTTCGAAGCCAGACTGGGCCCCTTGCTGCCGATGCCGACCTTTAGCAGGCCATTCCTCTCTCCCCGCTGGGGCCCAGGTTCTTCCCGTGCTGGTCGGTGGCTGGTGCCCGTGGTTCGGCGCTGGTCAGTAGTTGACCTCTGTCGTCCGTCGTCCGTCCCCTGCCGGGGGTCAGAGCGGTACATCAGATCGTCAGTCTGCACGTGCTCGGCTCTGTCGTGGACCCGAGCCGTGGCGGGAGCGACGGACCGCGGCGGCCTTCTGCAGATTCCGACCTTGGCTGTCGACGGACGGGCGACCGGCGGGGACGACGGCGTGGCGCAACTTCTCCGGAACAGAAGCCGACGCGTCTCCAGTCTTCTCGTCGTTTCCGACTCCTCCGCTGACGTGCGGGATCGCTCAGACCGCGTATGGTTAATTCCAGTAGACAGTTATGCAAAAACTGTCCTGCAAACGGCCTCGACTGTCGGACAGTGTAAAATGTCATCGGGTGCAGTGCACGCTCAAAAGGTGACATTTGAATTGCGTAGATCGTTGTTCGTAAAAGCGTCAACTGACTGTGGTATTAACACATCAGTTGAAGGATAAACACTTCACGGGCGTTTTCAAAGTGATGTAAATCGCTGGCATTAGTACGTGGGCCGAATAGTCTCTCGGAAGAACTTGAACTTAGGTCATCCGGGAGTCGGGACTTGGAATATAAAATCGATGTAGAGTGTAGACCCGTCATGCCGAAGCCACGCTGCCCTATCCAGTGTTCTTTGTTTACGATAGGGTTTTGGCAGAAGTTACGGGCTTTAATGTTGTCATTCTTCAATATTAGGATTCTGTCTGTTTTACTTTGTTCAGAATTAAAGTTAAAATCGATTAATCATAAATTAACGAAAGAACGTTTCTGTGATTCAAGTCCAGCTGTATTCTCTCTTTTTTAGCCTGACCTGCTCTGCAAGACCATTTTAAACAGGGCGAGCTGTCTCACGTGACAGACACCCAAATAGCACATCTGCTGCGTGATTCGCAACATCCTCCCCCCGTGAGATGAATAACGAACATCTCACTACACCGCTGTCACCCCTGGGACGTAGATATCCTAAGGTTGGGTTAGGTTAGCTCCTTCCAGAAGATGAAGCCGCTGAATCGGCCGCACGAGCGTCCCGTCTGTAGTGCGCACAGTCGCCGACCGCACACAAGCATCCCGTCCAGGAAGCAGCTTTTCGATTATGCCTGTTTTCCACAACGCACGCGAGGAACGCGGGTTGTCTTCTATGAGCACCAAGTCATGCTCTCTTGGTCCTCGTCTTTGTGGTCCTGCCCGGAGTGGTAGGCGGAGTGCTCTTAAGTACTCAGTCTTCCACCGCTTCCAAAGATGCTGGAGGACCTGAAGGCGATATTTTCTCATCGATTTGAGATCACGACCAGAGACAGAAAATGCATCCGTATACTGATGGTCGCCAGTCCCAGGCTTTGAAGGATTGTCTCGTAAGAAGTCTTGTGGCGAGAGAGGGCGGATGTCATCTGGGTCGTCGTTGAGGGCCGTCAGCGGTCTGGCGTTGATGGCCGCCTCGATTTGGCACAGGACTGTGCTGAGTTCCTCCCACGTGAGGAGACTTCTTCTTAGGGTTCTACGCAGAGCTTCTTTGGTCATACGTATCAGCCTCTCCCAGAAGCCGCCCCACCAGGGCGCTCGCTGCACATTGAACTTCCACCTGACGCCTCTTGAAGCCAGGATCCTTGACGCGCGCTTGAAGTTGAGGCCGTTATCACTATAGACGATCTCAGATTGCCCTCGTCTTGCTGAGAATCTTTCAAATGCCTTCATGAAGTCGTCTGCAGATTGAGACTCCACTAGTTCAAGGTGCACCGCTCGTACTACGGTGCAAGTGAATAAAACTAGCCACACCTTCAGAGGGTTTTTTCCGGCAGGGTCCTTTCTGTATATTGGACCGGCCAAGTCCACTCCAACTGCCGAAAATGGCGGTCTTTGGCACACTCTCTCCTTTGGGAGTGGAGCCGCTTCTTCAACGAAAGGTTCTGTACAGAACATCTTGCACATTGAACAATCACGAATGAGCTTCCGAACGACTTGTCGGCCGCGAGGGATCCAAAACCGTTCCCTGATAGAATGGAGCGTCTGTTGTACTCCACCGTGGCATGCTTGTTGGTGTCGATCCAGGATAAGGAGCCGCACGTATCTGTGCTCTGAAGGAACGATGATGGGATGCTTCTCTGCCTGGCTCAGGTCAGATTCCTGCAGCCTCCCTCTGACCTTCATCAGATCTTGATCCATGAACGGATTCAGATTGTAAACGTTGGACTGCTTGCTGATTTCCTCTCCCGTTTGAAGCCTGGCAAGCTCCGCAGCGTACGACTCCATTTGCAGTTCCTTCAGCCAGATGTTTTCGGCCCTGCGGAGCTCTTCCACAGTCAGGTCTCCGTGCTCTCTGGTCTGGCCGGGGCGGATAGCTTTCCATCTGAGCACCCATGCAGTGACTCGGTGCAGCTTGTCGAGTGTGCTAAATCTGCTGACATCAATGACATTTTTCAGCCGGCAGCTTCCGTCAGGATGAGTTTGATGAGTCACCAGAACCGGTGCAGTTTTGCTCTTCTTTTCCTCCTTCAGACACTCCGGAGGTTCACAGATCCGATCTTGCCGCGGCCATCCTTCTTCAGGCAGCTCCAGCCAAGCAGGACCCCTTTGCCATAGGTCTTCCTGCATCTTCTTAACAGACACACCTCGCGACGGCAAGTCTGCCGGGTTGCTCTGGCCAGGGCAATGCCGCCAACACTCTGGAGCGAACTTTTGTTGCAGTTCCACCACACGGTTCGACACGAAGGCACCCCATCGCTGCGGGTTGCTCCGTATCCAGGCGAGTGCCACGGCTGAGTCCGTCCACAAATGTACGGAGTCCGGCTGAATGCTGAGAGCTTGTGGCACATATTCGGTGAGTCGAGCGCCGATCACCGCTGCCATTAGCTCAAGACGCCGGACTCCGTACATTTGTGGACGGACTCAGCCGTGGCACTCGCCTGGATACGGAGCAACCCGCAGCGATGGGGTGCCTTCGTGTCGAACCGTGTGGTGGAACTGCAACAAAAGTTCGCTCCAGAGTGTTGGCGGCATTGCCCTGGCCAGAGCAACCCGGCAGACTTGCCGTCGCGAGGTGTGTCTGTTAAGAAGATGCAGGAAGACCTATGGCAAAGGGGTCCTGCTTGGCTGGAGCTGCCTGAAGAAGGATGGCCGCGGCAAGATCGGATCTGTGAACCTCCGGAGTGTCTGAAGGAGGAAAAGAAGAGCAAAACTGCACCGGTTCTGGTGACTCATCAAACTCATCCTGACGGAAGCTGCCGGCTGAAAAATGTCATTGATGTCAGCAGATTTAGCACACTCGACAAGCTGCACCGAGTCACTGCATGGGTGCTCAGATGGAAAGCTATCCGCCCCGGCCAGACCAGAGAGCACGGAGACCTGACTGTGGAAGAGCTCCGCAGGGCCGAAAACATCTGGCTGAAGGAACTGCAAATGGAGTCGTACGCTGCGGAGCTTGCCAGGCTTCAAACGGGAGAGGAAATCAGCAAGCAGTCCAACGTTTACAATCTGAATCCGTTCATGGATCAAGATCTGATGAAGGTCAGGGGGAGGCTGCAGGAATCTGACCTGAGCCAGGCAGAGAAGCATCCCATCATCGTTCCTTCAGAGCACAGATACGTGCGGCTCCTTATCCTGGATCGACACCAACAAGCATGCCACGGTGGAGTACAACAGACGCTCCATTCTATCAGGGAACGGTTTTGGATCCCTCGCGGCCGACAAGTCGTTCGGAAGCTCATTCGTGATTGTTCAATGTGCAAGATGTTCTGTACAGAACCTTTCGTTGAAGAAGCGGCTCCACTCCCAAAGGAGAGAGTGTGCCAAAGACCGCCATTTTCGGCAGTTGGAGTGGACTTGGCCGGTCCAATATACAGAAAGGACCCTGCCGGAAAAAACCCTCTGAAGGTGTGGCTAGTTTTATTCACTTGCACCGTAGTACGAGCGGTGCACCTTGAACTAGTGGAGTCTCAATCTGCAGACGACTTCATGAAGGCATTTGAAAGATTCTCAGCAAGACGAGGGCAATCTGAG